ACTTTTGATTCTTTGTTTGGAGGACTGCTTTTGCACATTTCTTAATTATTTCCTTTCTAGGTAACAAATTAAAATTAAGTGGGTTTTATCCTAATGAATCTATTATTGTTCTGTGATATATGAAATTATAAATCGGTTGGTAATGTATTTGAAGATTGGCCTATTCAAATTTTCATGCATTGATTATAAATCAATTAATTGTACATTTGTGGAGTAACAAAATATTCAGAAGTACTGCGCTGGTTAAAAATCAGAACCTTAGGCATTTTATAATTTCGTATTTATATTTTAAATATCTTAAGAATCTATCAAATACTCTCTATTATTTTTCTGTGCTACATAAAATTATAATTATATTGAAATATATTTGAAAGTTAGTTAGCTCACATTTTTATGGATCTATTGATTATGATCAACTGCTGATTTGGATGATCACTAGTGATGATATATGAACAATAATTATTAACAGTATCTCCTGCTATATATTAGTAAATGCTTGTGGAAAAATTAAAAATGCTGCGATGGATAAGAGTAAGTTCCTAAGAATGAAACGTTTGGCAAAACATGTCAAAAAACTATCTTAGATAACAGGGTCTTTCTGAACCAGCTTCATAACATACGAGTGACGTTGCAGTTTATGTGTGAAACGCCCGAATGCACAGCAAATACATGACATTTTGACAGAATTCTGTATGATTAAGTAGCATAATGTATGGAAGTTGGAGCGTAACATGGCCTTGCTATATCATTGATCCGTTGTTCGGCAGAATCAGCCCATTAGTTTGAATTATAAGAAATAAAATTACTTGTAATCTTGTATCATCCTTTAAAGTTCAAACCCGTTCCCTCTCGCGAGAAAAATATGTTAAACAGTTCAAACAAATGGAATTGTGTATTATACCTACTTATTTTTCGCTCATCTTTCTAATTATATATTCATATAAAAATTCGATTCACATAAGTATTCTAAAATACAAGCGGAACTGTCACATAAAATGCATATCTTCTCTTTATAATGAGCGTCAGATGGTTCGAACCAGCTCGTAAAATACACTTGAGCCACCCGTACGTTTGCCGCGAAAACAATCAACAGTACGCATAACTCAAAAATCTACCTCGTTTATTTGATATTTCGGGTGTTGTTTACGACGGGAACAGTCCGAAATTCTCAATAAGGCTACAAGAAGAAAATGATGATATGCTCAGCTTAATGCTTTTATTTTATTGGATTCGCACAAAATATTCATAAGTCAGCGAACGTGCCTGCGCGATCGTCCTAATAAGAATCGCAATCTTACCAGAAGAAATCGGGGTGTGATATAAGTAAATGTTTGCAGAAGAATGGGAATTTGATTTATTATGTAAGATATTGTATGATATTGGATTATCAAAAGTCTCTGCTTACAACTATATAGTTTCTTTTATTAAATTCCTTATTGAGTGACAGAAAAATGCTTTATTAACTTAAGAAATATGTTATCATCCTGGATTAATGGTGAACCAATAGGATTTGATGTCAAGCATTGGCAAGATCAATTTTCACTTGTCAATATAGATAAGAATACATTTGCATGTGATAATAGCGTTTTCAGAGCATTGCCAGAAACTATAATAATAAATTCATCATATAAAGACAGGACAATCGTTTGGGTTGCCACTTACAAAGTCACGTCATTAAAAGTAGTCATTATAGCCAATATAGAACTCGTTAGGTTCTGGTTTGTGGTAACTAAGTATATTATATATGTTATAAAAAACTTAAAAATCCGAACATTCCAAAACTATATAGGTAATATTGCTATTTCAAAATGCAAGTTAGGATTCAAACCACTAAAACAAAAATTAAAAAGAAAATAGTTTAAAACATGTTTTGCCAAACGTTTTATTCTTAGGAACTTACTCTTGGTTAGGTTTTCTATCTGATAACCTGAAAAAAACGTCTGACTGCACAGCAAGCACATGGCAATATTTAGAACGAATTAGTATGGAAAGTGCTTTATAGCATAGCCTTGCCATGTTTAGAAACTTCTGAAATATAGATTCGCAAAAATTTTCATTATTTTTTTTGCGATTACTATAACTTACCTTAAGAGAAATTAATTAAATTACTTTATTTATTGTATGAATATTTATATGTATTGAAAATTAAACTTGTTACATTTTATTGCAAATGACAATTTCTAATTTGATTTAAAATCTAACTACTAACAATTACTCAAAAGTTGTTTTAAATTAATTAATATAGAGTACCATGGTTGGTTAGAAATAGAAAATTATTTTATTTTATTTGGTTTGATCTTTTGAAAATTATAGCATTTTTTTATTTATGCTCATATTTATCCATAAATAATCTATGTGACTACTCACTTTAGAAAAGTTTTCTTATTATATCATTTTACTTTTAACATAAAAAAACCTGAAAATAACACATATATGTACTTTAATTTCAAATATATATAATATTTTCATCTGTTCCGAAAGTAATATAAGTAATTTTTACTATTTTTTTAATAATGTTTGTTTATTTTAATTATTTTCCTAGAATTCCACGACTATCGAAATTAAAAAAAAAATCTACTCAATACATGATGGTACGTAATGAAGAATTCAATTAATAAACGTTTTCAAATTAAACTTTTATACAAAAAAACTAAGTTTGTAGATAGTATTAGCTTACATACCTAATAAATTACATGCTAATAGTCACACAAATCGATACATCAAATGTTACTTCTAACATCTGTTAGAAATGCAATTAGTAAATAACATTAGATATAAATTCTTATATATGTCTTCATTATGATGATTATTAAAGTAATATATTACTATTGCATTATAATCAGACATTTAAGAATCTTCAAATGCCAACTTCCATATTGTATTATAATTATATTATAACGAATACAAGCGACCTTTCTATCTACAGTTAATTTATAATGCAAAATTTGTTGCAGGTAATGATTCAATATTATGATCGTAAAATCATAGCTATATAATTATTTCATAAGGCAACCAATTAAGAATTTTTCTATGCGCATAAATTATGTTTGAAAGGCTTTATAATAATATGATTTATTTGGTAATAAATTATTGAGTGATTAATTTATTGACGCCTGTCAATAATGCTTTTACTATTGTCTTGCAATACATTGATACTAGTAAAATATATAAAAATATATAGTTTATATTGTGGACAAAAAAAAACGCGTTTACTATAAATTTATAAATTAATTGTGTATGGCATTGTGCCTTAAGGCAAATTGCTGGAACTTCCCGTATCGTAACGAAATATTCGAGGAATTTTGAATGGTTTCAAATCGATTATTATAAATACTGTAACTTATATATGTTTACAGAAAAGTAAATAAACAAAACTTAATCAATCGGCTTTAAAATTAAGGACATTGTCTAATATTGAGAATAATTATATTAACTGAATTGTAAACTGAAAATTATTTATTTGAAATATATAAATGAGCTTTAGAACTTTAGCTAGAATAAAAATTAAAATCCGAAATATTTTTGATATTCAAAAGAATTTTTTTTGAAAATTAAAAGAAAAAATTAAAACCTTTTTCGAAAATCACTTATTTTGTCAAGTTTTTTGAATCGTTCAAATTAGATGTTCTCTTAAATAACTGCCAATTTTTGCACATTTAGCTCTGTCTCTCCGAAACGGCTGGACCTGCCTCTGCCAAAAACAAATCACTACTTCTCCTCATCATTACGAATTGAATGTTTCTTGGATCTTTCAAATCAGATGCTCCATTCCATGAAACACTCGATTTCTATTGTCTACACTCTTAGCTCCGTATCTCCGAAAAGCCTGGACCTGCCTTTGTCAAAAACTAAACATCTTCTACCAATAGGAATCTAATGCTTTTTGAACCATTCAAATCAATTTATCCGTACGCTCGAAAACGTACGAAAATCTGTATCCATAAAAACATACAAACACACACCATTTTTTCTAAAGTATGATAAAATGTACAAAATCTTTCAAAACGTGAAGAAATGCAAAAATTTTTAATTTCGATGTTTGGACGATTACAATAACTTACTCTACGAGAAGTTAATAGTAGATTTGTGTTATATCCTTAAATACATAAAAAAATCTAACCAGATGTGAATGGCATCTTTCCTAAAGACAAGTTACCATAACTTTCAGGTATGCATAAAATAATCGATTTAATCAATAAATATTTAATTTTTATATGATCTCCCTATATACCAGTCATCTTGTTCAGTTATTTGACTGCCTATCTACGTGTCTATTTGTCTACCTGTCTATATGTTTATCTGTCTACCTATTTACCTGCATACCACTCGACCTGCCTACTTGTCTACTATTCTACTTTTCTGCATTTTTGCCTGCCTATCTATCAACCCTGCCTATCTGTCAACTTCTCAATCTGTTTATCTTCCTATTTTTTTATTTGTCTACCTGTTCACCTGTTCACCTGTATACCTGTTCACCTGTAGACTTGTTCTTTTGAAATAATTTTGATTTTTTATTGAATCTGTATCTGTATTCAATAAAAAAGACTCAAAAGCCCTATGGTTGCTATAAGTTGTTAAAATTGAATATTATTTTACATTATTCTAATAATTTATAGACATAATTAGAATGAGGTTATCTGCTAATAGCCATTGGTGAAAAACTCATGTGAGAACATTCATCTCAACAGAGAATATAATTTTTATTCACATTCAAATGTGTTATTATTTAATGATAAGTAATATTTATATCGTAGAATTGTTTATAGAGAAAATAGAAATAATTATTTATTATTCATTGTGTGGTCAGCTTTTTAACGTAGCATTCAATATTAACTTTTTGCAATATCTTAAGACTCTCAATACATGTTCTTTACGCAATTTCCTCATACTTGATTTCTAACCGTGGACCATAAGTCTATTGGCGGTTCACCATCTCAGTAACAACTATAATAACAAACACATTATAAATTACTAATGTCGTGTTTTCTTTGTTTCAGCAGGACTGGGAACACTATAGGTAAGTAATACACATACTTCGCTTCGTGTATTATCATAACAACGTTACGTAAATTATTACCTGCGAGATCGGTTACCTTGTAGCCGGGCGGTCGGAGGGCAACAGATTCAGAAAATATCTTCAAGATGATCTGAGAAGAGAGTAATATTGAAATATATTATATTGGGATATTTTATTAAACTTGGAATATTATATTATTCATCAAGTATATGCCAAATCGTAATTAGAAAGTTTACGATTTTGATGGAACATAATGATGATGCTCTTTAACAGACTTGCTAAAATATTATTCACTTACAAAAAGTGGTTCAATTTAAAAAAAAATTAGAAGATGGCCGTGTCAAAATTCTTTCGTCACATTTTTAGAAATTGAGAAACATTATTTTTTGTTGATTTTGTTGATTATTTACACTTATCAGGAAATTGCTGTAAGACAAAATTCTTCTCGTACACCTCTTAAAACTTTGTTTGTAATTAGATTAAATATCTAACAACTCGATATCACATACAAAACCAGTTTCGCAGTTTGCTCATCTTAATTCGGTCCACCAGCCCCTCCATTACTGTGAACATACAAAATAGCTCGCGAAAATTTTTATTTATTTAATATTTCGATTAACGAGAACGGATAAGTATAGGTACATCGGTTACGGTGTTTCCCTGGATATTATAAATAATGGAACGCTGTGGGTCTGAGATTGCCTCGTGATATGATAGTCCTATCTTTTATATCGAATATTAATAACAATGAATTAAGTCAGAAAACACCGTGTGTAATTTACAAATTACGATCGCGCGCAACCGCCAAGTAAAGGCACGCTCTTGCATAAGCATAAGCGACACGGGTAAAGTACCTCAGGGGTGTTTGGGAAAGCAGGGATGTCGAATCGAAATAAAACGGTCGTGAATTAGAGATGAACTTTAATTTTTTTATATTTGTGGAAATAAATTTCCATTGAGAAATTCTTGCAACTATTGGTATTGCCGATATTAGTCTCGCCTCTGCTTTTCCAATATTGGTTTTGCCAATATTGGTTTTGCCAATATTGGTTTTGCCAATATTGGTTTCGCCAATATTGGTCTTGTCAATATCGGCCTTACCAATATTGATCTCGCCAATATAGGCCTTACCAATATTGGTCTTGCCAATGTTGGTCTTGCCAATATTGGTCTTGCCAATATCGGTTTTGCAAATATTGGTCTTGCCAATATCGGCCTTACCCATATAGCTGTTGCCAATATTGGTCTTACCAATATTGGCCTTACCAATATTGGTCTTGCCAATGTCGACCTTACCTAGGGTGTTTGGGTAAGCAAGGATGTCGAATCAAGATGAAACTATGAAAATTAATTTCCATATAAAAATTGCTCAAATTATCGAATTGTCATAGAGATTTTTTCAACAGATCCTTTGCTCCAGCTTTTGACAAAACCAGAATTTCATAAGTTAATCAGAAGAAGTTATTAAAATAAAAATCATAAAAAGCTTTATAAATAAAAATTAAATATAATGTTTACAATTGAATGGAATTTATGAATAAAAATATTAATAAATGAAAGAAAAATATTGCTTTATGTATATAAAGAATGCTACACAAACATTGGCATATTAAAATAATTGCGCGTAAAAAATGTCAACTAAAAATAATGACACTTGAATACCTCTTCTCATAATTAAATTGTGATAAATATTAAGACTAGTTATTCGCAATGACAAATAATGTGACTATATCATTAATTAATTATAAATTATATTGTTAAATTAAAGTAGTTTTTAACCATTTTGGTTATTGGTATTATATTAATAATATTTTATTATTTTATTTTTAATTCGCATTGCTATTGAATTGTAGCATTTTCCGCAAGAGATACATTCATATAATAAAATTTCACATACTTCTTTGAAAGGTTGTATTACCTTATAGATAAATGATCGATTACCAAGTTTGTGTTAAACTCGCAGAAGATTAGCTTCCAGATATTCCGCCAACGAGGGATTATTATTAACCTCACCGTTTATCGCAAACGTGGATCAAGGATAAGACTCGGCCTGTCTTATTAGTTTAATTGTTTCTGTTTATTGGACGGGCGTGCATTCGGAAATTACACCGGTCGAGACTTGCGACGACGTCGAGGCACTTTTGTTGGAAGAACGGCTAGCAAAAATTTTCTAGTAAATAATTTTGTAGTAAATGGTTTCATATTAACCGGTCATCCAAGAGACGTTTTTTCCAAATATGAAAAAATTTATGGGTATTTTTATTAAGGGGGTATTCTACTGTAGAATTTCGAAAAAATCGAAAACTTTTTTTTTCATATTTTCAAAGTTTAGTTATACAAAAATATGTCATTAAAAAGATTTTTCAAAATTACTATTATTTCCTGAGTTATAGCCGTTTTAGTGACGTGGCCTCGGTTCGGGTCCAACCGACTGCAAAACTTTGAACGCGTTTTTCTCGGAACTACTTTTTTCGAGCTGGCGGTAAGGATATCTTGAGTTCTAATGAACCGATTCACTTCAATTTGGAGAGGATCTTCTCTATATATGGCTTTATCGCGTGGACCTTGCCCAAAACTATAACTTTTCATTTAGTATTTTTAAAAAATTCGGAATTGTTTAAAAAATCACGAAAAAAATATTTTTTTTTTTAAACTGCCGCCATTCAAACAAAAAAATTTGTTTTAACTCATCCAAGGGTCATACGATAGCGGCGTCTATAATAATTAAGACCATCTATTTTTTATGTTTTAGATCACCAGGAGGGTTGAAATCATGCACGCCAGGACACCCTCTTTTTTTTGAGCCCCTACTTTGACTGCTCATAACTTTGTCAATTTTAATTTTTTTTTGAATAATTTTTTTATGTAATAATTAAATATCAATAAACAAATAATAAAAAAAAAACAATAGTAAAAATATTATTTGTTTCCTTTATACAGCGCTTCAAAAACCGGGCGAAATTTATGCCTCTACAGTAGAATACCTCCTTAAGATTTCATGAATTTAAAATTAATACAAACGTTTGAAACTACACTTTTTTAACAGCAATCTGAACAATATTGGTCTCCCCAATATTGGTCTCGCCAATATTGGGCTGGCCAATATTGATCTCACCAATATTGATCTCGCCAATATTGATCTCGCCAATATTGATCTCGCCTATATTGGTCTTACCAATATTGGACTTGCTGATGTTGGTCTCGTCAATATTGGTCTGGCTAATATCGATCTTGCCAATATTCTATAACAATTCGAAGTTTTATCAAAATTCCAGAAGACAAATCCTGATGTTTCCTTTGCTATTCAAACTCGTGCTTAAACCAGGAATGTTTAGTGACTAAATGATATATAATAATCGATTGGAAACATAATTTTGATTGGTCTTGCCGATATTGGTCTCGCCAATATTGGTCGCGCCTATAACCATGCAAAGTTTTACCAAAATTAAAGAAGAGTAAACCTGACGTTCTCTTCGCTAATTAAACTCCTGCTTGAACCAGGACTGTAAATATTATAATCAATTGAAAACATATTTTGATTGGTCTTGCCAATATTGGTTTTACTAATTTTGATTATGCCAATATTGGTCTTGTCAGGTTGGTCTCAACGTTCCCTTCGTTAGTTAAATTCCTGTTTCAACCAGAAATGTTTATTGACTGTAAATTGTATAATGAATTGAAAACATAATTTTGATTTATATTTTCACATTGTAATCAATGCAAAGTATTACTTTACACGCATTTTGTGCACTTAATGCAATATCCATAAATATCGAGTTTCCTAAATAATATTTTATTAAATACACACGATATCATAATTGATATATTAACAAAGTGAATTACATAATTTTGTTCATTACATGTTGTATTTATTATTATTGTATTATTGAATGAATGATTTGTATCATTTTGCAATAATATAAAATACATGAATACCCTATAAAAGTTTGGTTGGTTTCTCGTAAATTTTATTTTATGCATATTTTTGTTACCTTTATAACTATATTTTTATGTTTCAAAAATCCGTTCAAAACTCGATTATATGCAAATTTACTGCTTTAGCTAAAGGAACAACGTATTTCTGAATTCCCAACTGTCACTATAACTTTAACGACGGACAATAAAGCGGGAATGACGCTTCGTGATATTGCGTGTAGTTGTTTGATATTGTTCTTAAAAAATATCCTTGTATCTGTTACTGATCAGACGGAGAGCTTTTTATTTTCGCATATGTGTTTTATTGCAGCGGCAATATACGGCGCGGGATTTAATTGGTTTAGTTTCAACTTAAACGCGGAATGCGCTGTTACTTGTTACCTGTTACCCGTTTTGCGAGATATGCCTATTAGGTACCTACTGTGTGCGGTTGGGTTGTTCACGTTTTGCACATAAAAGACTACGGAGGTAAACGGGTATTTTTCTATCGCGAATTATCGCCATTTTCTCAACATAATGAGCACACTTTTCTACCTCTTTGTATTGCCAATCGTTCTCGTCAATGTGCTAACGTGTATCTGATTAAGGATAGGTAGTACTTATCGAAATTATCCTGGATGGCGGGATGTATAATAGTCACGTTGTGCTATATGCAGCATTATTATTTTATGACGATTTATAAAAAGGCTATCGAGTAAATTGGAACACGTGGTACTATACTGTACTATATTCTGCGGATAGAACTTAATCAAAATGCATTCAACTTTTATATATAATAACTTATATCTGGTATATAGATAAAATAAATAAGTAGACTTCTTGTATATTGTATCCATATTGTCTATTATATGAAGACTTCTAGTACTAGTTTTGTTTATTTTATAAGGCTCTTAGAAGGAATCCCATTGGTTGTCCTCTCTAATGTTCATATATTTGAACATGCTTAATTAAAATATTTGACTTAATTACGTTTTACACCAATGCTCAAGAAGACCGAATTCACTTGGAAACACACTTTGATCTATTATATATTTCTAACAATAAAAGCTGAAATTGATATCACTACTGCTTATTCTCAGTACTCAGTATTTCGTTGTCCAAAACTCGGATTTCCTTTCTAACCGATGAAAAAAAAGGGCGCGTAGTTCACACGCTGTTGAAGCAAATTTTTTTTTGCTATTGTACGAGATGACATTTAAATTAAAAATAAATACATCGTATAACAATTTTAAATCGCCTAAACAAATATTGTTTTTGCAACTTCACTCATCATGCAATTGTGTTTGAAGAACTTCATGTAATTAAAATTAACATACATTCATTAACTACTTGTATTTTTTTACTTTTTACGTTGGCGATATAATCTCATCCTTTGAACTACTGTAATATCTGTCTTGCCTAAAAATATTTTCCATTTTAATAACTTCAAAGATATATAGAAACTACGAATAATATAGAAATAATTTTTTAGTCAATAAGCTTACGTTTAGTATACGGCACAAAGGCTTGATTTGTTTTATTATTTTCAAGGGACAAGGTAAAATATGCTTTTGATTCAGGCATTTTTCATTGAATCAAGATTTGTACTACGATGTAACTTTAAGCTGTTGTGATGATATGACTTAATTAATTACGTCCATTTTATTTTAGATGGCAACCCAAACTGTAGCCTTAAATCTATATGATGAACTTTGTAATTATTATTTCTTTATGGTGCATTTTTTTTGGGGCGGGGGGTTGAAATTCCATAACTCTAATTACCAATCCACCGGATATTTATAAAGAAACATTCTGTTTCTTTATAACATTTTGTTTCGTTATAACAAACAAAATCTTGAAACAAAATCAATAAGTTATGTGTGACTCATCGATGTTCAGTACATCTTTACTGTATCTATTCATTTGCAAGCCAGCTTGATTCAAAAGACACTAATCACATATATTTATTTGTACTTGTTTGTTAAACTTGATCGCTTTCTGTATGTTTTATGGGAGATTTGCAAAGACTTAGACAGTCGTAAACACGTGAATGAGAATCTCGTAGTGAGCATAATGAGGGGAATTAATATAAAGCGAACTAGACAATCATTCGATAAGTCTGAGCGCGTCAAGAAAACATATAAAATGTGTCGGGAAATAAACATGTAAAACGGCGAAGACAATTTTATTGACTGTCATAAAAAGTTATCTTTAAGTGAGGACAAATCTTTTACGTGCAGTATTTATGTTCAACGAAATAATTAGAAAGATTTAATGCTATTAATTCGGAGACATGCAACTATAGTAGAAAAAATTTTTGTACTATTCACTTGATCAGCATCAGAAATTAGGAGTCATATAAGCTACGCAGCTTTTTAAGTAGCTACGTAAGGGCAACCCAATAATTGGCTTATCTATTGTTTGACATTAGGCTGCCCAAGGCAGTACCGAAACTGAAACCTTTTGGTTGGAAGACCAAAGCTCTTGTAATATTCACAAATTTCTATCTTTGGATACTGTCGAAAGTCTGACCTAACCAAGTATTTATTGATTGGACATTTCAACTATAGTGACAATTTTTTGTAATATTAATTTGATTGGCATTAGAAATTAGTAGTCCTACAAGCTGTTTTAACAATATACATTAAATACGTAGCTTTTCAAAAGGCAACCCAATAGTTCGTCTGTCTCTATTAGATATATTAATAATACAAAATTTCCTAATAAAATTATGACTTGAAAATGTATTTGAAGTGGAAATTGCTCTCACTACTTCTTGATATTCGGATAAACGTAATTAAGTCAAATATTTTAATTAAGCATGTTCAAATATATGAACATTAGAGAGGACAACCAATGGGATTCCTTCTAAGAGCCTTATAAAATAAACAAAACTAGTACTAGAAGTCTTCATATAATAGACAATATGGATACAATATACAAGAAGTCTACTTATTTATTTTATCTATATACCAGATATCAGTTATTATATATAAAAGTTGAATGCATTTTGATTAAGTTCTATCCGCAGAATATAGTACAGTATAGTACCACGTGTTCCAATTTACTCGATAGCCTTTTTATAAATAAAACCGAAACTGAAACCTTCTGGTTGGAAGACGTAGTACCGGAACTGAAACCTTCTGGTTGGAAGAGCAAGGCTCTTGTATTATTTACGCATATATATCTTTGGATACTGTACAAAGTCTGACCTATCCAAGTATTTATTGATTGAATATTTCAACGATAGAAACAATTTTTTTGTAATATTAATTTGATCATCATCAGAAATTAGGAGTTGTTATAATGATAAATATTAACTACGTACAACTCCAAATATTAACTACGTACAATAGTTCGCCTGTCTCTATTCGATATATTTATAATACAAAATATCATGATAAGATTTTCACAATGCTATAATTTTTAATATGATGAAGTATTTACCGAAAAGAGCTATTTTCACTTCAAAATATTTTTGAAGTCAAATTTGCGTGAAGCCCATTACTGACATTTGGCTTTCCAAGGCAGTACCAAAACTGAAACCTTTTGGTTGGAAGACCAAAGTTCTTGTAATATTTACGAAAATTTATCTTTAAATACTGCACAAAGTCTGACATAGAATGATTGGATACTTCCAACTGATAATTTAGATGGTAAAGCCATTTCAATGAAATTATTTTTCATTATTAACCGGAAGGATTGTACTTTCAAATAAAAAAAAGAAATTTGAGAAAATATTCAGTAGTATTTTTTATAGTATTTTAAAAAAAAGTTATTTTAGTGTGTTGACATTACATATTTTTGTGTCACCCTAATGAACAAACTTTCCCTTACCAAAACAAATAATATATTACATGAAGATTTGCAAACATGTTCGGATAAAACCACAGAAAAATTACGTTTCGATTTATCACATCATTTATTAGTTGGTGAAACAAGTGCATGTCAGATTGAATTTTACGGTTTATTATAATTGCATGAAAAGCTTACAAAAGTGTACAGAAAATTAAATAATTGCTTATTTAAACTATTCATAATCGAGACTCTAATATGCGTTTGTGGAATCAAAAAAAATGTCATACATTTTAATCAAGATTTAGAAGCAAAAATGGAATCGGACTGTAAACCAACAGAAATCCCAAAAGGTGAAAGGTGACAAATTTTTGAAAAACAGTAAAAAACACATTTCTACAATGATGAAGTTTTACTAAACTTAGTCAGATAATTGCTTGTTTGATATGTGTTATTTGTTTTGATATAATTGGTCTTTTGTGCTCCGCCTTACCTTATTTCTAATTGAAAATAGCCTCTCGTGCATTGCTAACTAAAATATATGAATAATTGAAATGTAGTATCACTGGGTTTCTCTCTACTGAAACTATATCAGATAGGTTGGTCAACCTTTGAGTTTGTTTTAAAAAAAGCCACTCAGTTTAGGAAGAGCATCATCACGGCTAGAATGAAACTCTTAGAGCTTATTGGTGTTGAATGAAAAAATCTACATGTTTCTTTTTAACTTTTTATCCTGGTTTCAAGTTAGTTTTTAATTATATCCAAAAATAACTTAATAACAATTCCAGTTCTTTAAATATCGCATGGACATGTTTTAAAATCTGCCAAATTCTCAAGGAACACTATTGGCATTGTTTATTATTTATATTTTTAGTAAAAGTCTAATTATCTCTTCAGCAACTTCTGTGCATCTTTAAATTTTACCATTCTTATTTCTTTATTTTAGGAATATTCTCATTACGGTCGAACGCATCTCGTCAACGCAACATAGTTCCCAGTCAAGCTACTGCTCTTAACGGCAAAGGTCCTCCGAATCTGGTCACGAATCATCACCATCACCACCATACTCCTCACCACCAAGTGGTGACTGGTGACGGAACGTGGTCAGGGTGGTTGGGTCCGAGACGACCACCTTTAGGGGCTCCAACTCTCTCGGCAGAAAATCATTACACGCACATGGACGACGCGTACGGCCCTGGAGGCATAGCGCCGGCCCTGTCGCAAAGCAGTGATGGAAATCCAGGACCGCAGGAGGCTCTTTATGCAGAGTTGGATCGAGAAAGTATAAGGTCGGGGAATACGAATCCTTATCAAAATTCGGCATATTCGGTTTGCTGTGAAGCTGGACAGGCTGATGGAAGGATGATCATTTCGTCACCGCCCAGGTGAATATACTTTTTAATTATAATAATATATCTGAATTTGGATTATTGAAATATAAACATCAAACTTTGTGTCTGGTTAAACACTGCAAAATTAATATTTCTATTGAACAGAGATTGTAACTGTCTCATTAGAGTATGTATTATTTGATCATCAATTTTATATCCAATAGGGTACGTTTTCTAGATTGATCTCAACTCAATATATTGAAATTAAAATCAGCTAACTTCCAAATATTTCTAAGTTCTTCATAAAATAACTAAAATATACTTTTCAGAACATGTAATATTTTAGTGCATCATTAAATTATCTAAAAGGAACTTTCTAATCCTATTCTAGATTCTAATTCACTTGAATCTCTCTATCAATTTTATAGCAAATTTGAAGTATACACAATGTACATAGAAACTTTTTAATAACGTTTTAGAAAGTTTTCATGGCACAGCGTACGAGATTCGTATTAGATTTAAGGCATGCATAACTTTTAAATGCAGTTTAAAATCTGTTATGAACACGGGCGAATATTATAGTGTATCGTGTAATACAGTTTGTATACAGATTGAGTTTGCCTGAATTGGTTTTACAAATTCTTTAGCAAGCACTAAAAGAGCTTTACAATGCATCCTGATAGAATATTCAAAGTTTAAAAATGATGTTATCACTTAAGAATCATGTAGTATGTATAAAATGATTTACACTTGCTTTTAGAAGTAGTTAGGAAATTTAGGCTCGCTCTTTATTATGGTTTTATTTTATACAGTCATAGCCTCAAAATAACCCTAATTTCGTTTTTTTATATTAAACTAGAAGACCCGACATACGTTGTCCTGTTCCCATGTCTACATTTTTTTAATATAATATACTAATATTTACCGTTTACCTAAAAATAATAATTATTGTATTTTAAATTACTATTCACGCCAAAATGCATATACGTTTATAATATGAGCGATGTTAATTGTAGAACTGCTTTAAATAAAATGATGAGTCTCAATTGCCACACTATATTGGGAATTGAAGTCTTTTAAACGGTATAACATAACCATAACCATAACGTAACACTGGTACTTCATGTTGGATTAAATTAATTTAATTTTTTATTATTTAAGATATCCAAAATTGCATCTTAAACTTAAACCTAATCGATATCGTGAGGGCCGAATTGTATGTATTCATCGTTACTTTCCCATTTGTTGTTATAAAGTAAAATTTTTACGAATTTTCAAAATATTGTGGAAAGATTAGTAGAAGATGTAAAGAAATTATTTTATTGAAAAAAAAACTACATTGAATATTCAATATCCGAATCTTGTATTGCCGCCTCCTAAGGCGTGCGCTCGTATTTTTCGCATGCATCGCATTAAAGGTAGAACCAGCCCTGATTAATACTTAATTTCATATTTTAAGTGAAATAATTTGTCATATCCTGTTCATATGTGTATCATTCAATCTGCCATGCATATACCATATTTTATATTATTTTAATTTCTGCCACATCTCAGCTGCTTTTTGGCAATATTAATGTAGACATTTCATTTTTCTTATTCATAATCATAAATTTATTATACATATTCTAATATTGTCTAGGTTCATAAGTAAATTGAATTTTTTGGCAGATGATAGTTTTCATTTGTTTTGCAAACGATAACATGCCGTTTTTTACAAATTTTTTTCATTAATTTCTACAATATTACACATACATTCCAGTACTTTATAATCACATACATTCTAAAAAATTTCCTTAACAAACTTCAGAAAGATTTATCAAAATCCGCATAATCGTTTAGAAGGAGTATACAGTGAGTGCTTGTAATTTAATATGAACTTTATATAATAGCGGTTTTAGAGTTTTACCGACAATTATTGGACTTTTTCTCACCGTAAGAATCATCCTTGGACTTCAACGAACATTTTAAAAAAATAATTGGCCAAATTGGTCTAGGCGTTGTTGAGTTATGCGCTTGCCAACACGTTTTGCGGTTCATTTTTATATATAAGATTTTAATAGCAAGTGATCACTGTTTTTTTACGCATAAAGAATATGTTTGTCAATACACAAAATTCTGCCTCTTCTTCATGACGAGTATATTCTTCAATCACAGTTAACTTAAGATTAATTTAGAGTGCATAGGAATTACCAGAACTACATAATAAGTTTTAGTAAAATTATTATGGGATTTGGGTGTATTGGTGCTATATTTCTCAATATATAGTTATTTTTTGTAAGTTAAAAAATCGATGCTTGATTGTCTTTACAATTTAATTCCAAATATTTTAGATTATAGTTTTTGATAAAAGAAATGAATATATCTATCTCTGAATATTTGAAACTATACATATAATATTAATAATGATGAAAAATAATGGTAGTGTGTTTTATATTTTTGATTCAGCATTTACAATTCTACCAATATGCTATCAAGAATATTCAAGTATCTAGAACATTAATGCAAGGAACAAGCATGCTCATAATTTTTTATCAAACCTAGAATGAAATTGCTGTTAAAAAATTCAATATTGATTCTGATACCGCGCTTCGTGCGTACTAAAAACTGTCAATATCTATGTATTTGCTCTGCGATCAAGGTTTTTATACATAAAATTATACCTTTTTGCATTTAGTTTTACGGCAAATCAGAAAGATGCACTTATGATAAAATTGTTTTATTGGCGTTTGTGCATTTCCTATGTTATATTTTATATGTGGATCATTTGACTGCACAGCAACCACATAACATTTCGACAATTCTTAGTACCATTTTGTATGAAAATCACAGCGTGTCATAGCATTGGCCTATTGTACTGCAGAACTGGCCCAAGAATTTGACACTTCTAACAACTTAGGTTTTAGCATCATTTATAGAAGAAATTAATGTATTGGTTTTATGTTTCGCATTCATTGGAATCCTAGTCTTGATATTGATAATGATTTAAAAAAAATAACGCTTGAAGCGCGGTAATGAATCTAATAAGAGCAATTTTGTTAAAAAATTATGAGCATGCATGTTCCTTGTAACTATGTTCCTAGATACCTAAATATTCTTGGTAGTACAGCAATTGCAATTAAAAGGTTAAAATTAATTTAGCCATATCAGTCGCTTTTTCAAACTAGTTAGGGGGTGTCCATTAATCATGTCAGCATTAAAGGAAGAGGGGCGGGGGTTTGACGAAAAATTACGAAATATTACCTAGGGTAGGGAGAATCTAGTAAGTAATGACATGTATTTATTTTCTACCCCAATTAAATAAAAAATCCAAATTTTTCAAAAAAAAAAAAAAAATACGATATTTTCTAAGTATTAAAAATATACGTGAAGTTGTGTGAAGGATGAAGGGAAATGTTAAATATAACCACGTGTCATCAAGGGGTACAAAAATCCTTACAAATCGCTCACATGATTAATAGACAATTACATATCGCCTGCGAAAATATAGCAGATGCTCATTTAATAGTTATTTACATTATTCTTTTATATTATTATTAACTTATATATGATATATATATATATATATATATATATATATATATATATTATTACTATTATATATGAACTGAGACAAATTTTAACCATCATCAGCAGCGCCTATTATTCGGATCTGTCGTGCGGCGGGCCTGATCACCGAGACGCGGCCTACGAAGTGGTCGGCCTGTCCGTCCTGAACTCGGCGGGTCATCACCAGCACCACCAGCAGCCGCCTTCGCATTGGGACTCACCAACTCTGGGGGCCTCTCACCACCCAATTCCTTTGGGAGCCAGACTGAAGGCCATTCATGAAACTACCACAGTTCCTAGTGACTACATTTGATGTCCGCTTTTACAGTACAAGTACAATGCCAACCAGTATAACAAGACAAGTCAGAGGTCTCAGGACTTCGAAAAGCGAAATCGTCGGAAGCGCTATTGTACCAAGTGTCATGGCTTGAAGACTATGTGATTGTTTGATGATATTGAGGGTGAACAATTATACTTGACGGATAAGTAAATTTGCGTGTGTGCGATTTATTCACTATTCTTCTACTGATAGTGAAGTGTGAAGTAGTTCTTGGACTAGAGTCAATAGAATTTTTGATATTAGTCAAAAGTGTGAAATCGACAAAAACAATTCTATCTAATTATTTGCGAATATTGTATATAAATGCTATATTATTAGCAACACTTTATTAATAGTTTTAACTTTAACAACTCGAGTCCCTATTCTTTATGTAGATATAGGCATATATTTTCATCGAACTTGTATAAAATCTGTTTATACTAAATATGTAAATAACATTTTAAAATTTATTAATATATCTCATTCATAGTTATAGAATCACTACATAGGTATAGAAGGTATTTTTGCTACCTATAGACACAAAACATTTTCGGAAAATGTTTATTTAATAAAAAATTAATTGATTATTTTATCACTAAAATAATTCAAATTGTTTTTATATTTTTACTCATATAATCAGTAGATATACTATTCTATGCTCTGCCATAAATTCGTCCGAATAATCTGATTAATCTATGAGTATGCTATAAATGTAGATATATAGAATAATAATTTTATTAAAATATATAATATATTTCTAATTAGTTTTAAAGAACTCAAAGAAGGCCATTTGGTCCAAAATCATGTACATACGTATTTGTATAGTAAATTTTGTAATAAGTTTGTACCTATTTAATTTAATCCAATAATTTTTAAAATTAGTACAGTGTGATGTTTTTTTATGAATTTCAATAGGATTAATGCATAAATCCCGAAAAACCGTACTAAAAAATATTTAAGATTTTATAAATTAACATTAAGTTGACGAGTTCCACATATAGTGGAGAATATAAAAATTTTGTTCTGGGAACAAAAATAAGTTTATTATACAATGCAAAATATTAGTGAATATACTGAATAAAAATGATCTGCAAAAGTAATACAGATAAAAAATCAAAAGCATACTTATTAACAAAATTTACATAGAATGAAATATTTAATTATCTCACAAATGTAATACAAAAGTCGATAATCGATAAATTTATTTATGACAAGAGTATTAGATATGTTCAATGCAATAGGTGATTTTCATTGTTTCTAAAAATGGTCTTGCTAATTAAATGTTAAGAAATTTGTACTAAATTAAAATTAAAATATTCTAATAAAATATCTATATAACTACATCAAAACAAAATTTCACAAATATTGAGTGGATTTTAATACTGAGCTCTTGCTATTCATTCATTATCGATTCTCGACCAAAAATTAGTTTTACATTATCTAATCCCAATATTTTCCTAATTCAATTTTGCGTTTCCAACAATTTTTATAAATATCAAAAAAATTAATTAAGTATTTCTAATGAGCTAGAAATCAATTATCACAATACATAAGATAGAGTGTACAAAAAAATAATTCGATTTTTATATAAACACAACTAAGTATCCAAAAATTTCTTTCGCGTAAATAAACTTATATAGATTTGTCTTTAAATTCTAAACGACTATTAGCAAAGTAGCTTTTCAAACGATCAAATATAATTTGTAGTTTGAATTTATGTGTAGAAATGCGATTTATTTATTTGTGCAATAACCATTTAGGTTTTAAAAATTTAAAATTTATGTTTGACAAAAATAATTTGTGTAATTGTAAGTTGATTTAGATATACAGCAATTTAATTTTGCATTAAATTTTATAAAAAAATTCGTTCACCAGTAAGTGAAAAAGTGCAAAAACATATCATCTAAGGACATTTAATTGTAACAGATGTTTATTAATTTATAATAATTTAACAATTTGTCTATAATTTGAAAGGCGTTAGTTTTGAGTAATAGTAAATTTAAACATATCTGTATAGAATTTGACTTTAATTTTATTAGAATCGTACAAGTTTTTCATCTGTGATATATATAGGTAACTTATGCTTGTACTTAGTCGTTTTTATAATGATTTTGTAAATATATGTGTTTACTTATAATTAGACTAAAATTTATATTGTGTAATTCTTGGTACTTTATTCTGTAATCCAAATAAAATTACACATAATCAAAAGTGTGTGAAAAATATCTTTGATTTTTTATTAAAAGTTATAAAAACTTGTATTTAGTACATATATAAATTTTTCAGTATTATTAACTAATTATATTAAGAGATTTCAAAACATTCTGGATCACTTGAGCCCAAAATTAGAAAAAAGTTGTATCCATGGGTTTAGTGTATGAGAGTCCGAATTCAACTTTTTCTCAAAATTGCATCGTTTTATTTAATTTTAATAGTCATTCGGTATCAACTCGGTAATTAGTTTTGCTTATTTATATATAGAGAAGTTTTAGCAACTTGCCTAATAGCAAAATGCCTCTTAGAACCAGTTACCTACCATATCAATATTGTATATTCCATTTTATTTAATATTGCAAATTAAATTAATTTTTACATTTCTTTGGTCACATAAACGTTTATGTCCTAATGTATTCATTAATTCAATGATTCATAATTATTATCAAATTGGTGTTTTACATTTTTCTTCACATACATCTAATATTTCTGATATTGTATGTTTAATATTTATTGAATAATTTATATTCTACTGGCTGGGTTATTTAAAAAAGATGAATTTTTTTAAATAACGTGTATGAAAAAAATATGATTTATTAACTTCTCGTAGGGTAGTTATAGTAATCTTAAAAAAATCGAAAATGAAAATTTTCATTTATCTTTTCGTTTCAGCGGTTTCTGAACATCTTGGCATACTTAGAAAAAATGGATGTATGTGTGTGTGCGATTACAAATTTTCGTCGACGATTTCGGGAACAAGGTTCAATCGATTTCGATTAATCAAAAAACATTCGATTTCTATTGATAAGGAGACGAGCTGATTAGTTTTTGACAAAGGCAGGTCTAACCGTTTCGGAGATACAGAACAAAATGTGCCACTAATGGTATTTCAATTTTTTAGTTATAATGTTATTTCGACTCGAAATCAGCTTTGAAAAAAAGTTCAAAATTTCCAAAATATTTCAAAATAAAGAAAACATTTTTTTTAAAATTCTTTTTTTCCTAAAAAAGTAAATTTTTGTCAAAAAATTATAGTTCCTCACAAATATAATTTTTTCGGAGTAAAATTTTTTCAAAGATGTTAATCTTTTTAAAAAATAATTGTAATAATTTTTGGTACAGAAGTTACAGCAATTTGCCTTAAGGCATGATGCCACGCGCCCAACTAGTTTTAAAAAATTTCAAAATTTCTCAAAAATTTAATTCATAAAAGTTTTGCAAAGTTTTTTTTTTATAATAATTAGTTTTCAGTACGGAAAGTTCCAGCAATTTGCCTTGAGGCACGACGCCATGCACCACTAATTTATCTTGCTTCAAAGACCTGTGTATTTGACCTGACAATTCTATCAAAACTTATTGAGTTACCCGATCCACTTTAAATGTCCGGCCCTCTTTCGAAATCAAATCGATATCAATCGATATTTTGAACTGATAACGGTAAATCTGTATCAAACTTCATGACCAACCCATCTTCATGCAGATTTTTCAGTTTTGATCATAATTTAGTTATGAGCAAACATGGCGGTTCCTATTTGTGCAATGACATTTGATCTTATAAGTGTACATATTGTTAGAGAATAGTTAGTAGAATATAACTAATTACATAGTACGTTTATAATAAAACATAACAACTAAAATAGCACTGAATCATGGATAAAGGATTACAAGAATCATGTGACAAATATGTGTCTAAATTTATACTGTGCAATATGCATTATCGTTCGGAGTGGTCTTGAAATATATTTGGCGCATAAATAAATTGCAAAGCAAAATAATTACAAGTGATTATACAAATAAAGCGATTTTGTGCAGTGATATAGTGAGTGTAATTATGTATATAATTTGGTAATTGTTTTTTACCCGAAGCTAAATTATTTACGAGTTGTGGTTCAATAGCATTGTCATGGCAGATAAGGTAAGTGCATTTTCAATTTATTCTACACTAGAAATGACATATAATTTGTGACAGATTTTTGTCGATTGCGTTTTATATATTAGGAGTGTTGTAGATTTGCGATTTTTGATGGATGTATTTCTTTGATGATTTTGCTTCACTTGTGTCATCATCAAAATTATTTTAAAGATCTTCATACAGCCACATAAAAATAGTCAACCCTCTGTTAAGGTATACCGTGCTATAAAAAACTCGTACTTAACATAGAACCCAGGCTAATTCGTTGTGCGTTTTATGGAAACTTGATATTGCGTTGTTTGAAAACCTTGCTATGAGAGACTCAAAACAATATGCAGTATTTTTATAGCGCTTCATGGAGACCAATACGTAAAAGGCATCTTAAGTTAAAAAAAAACTAACCTAGGGATCTGTTTTCTAACTAAATGTTCAAGTTTTTTTAGAAATCTAATTTTCTGTGAAAAAGAAATATATAAATTCAGACAAAATCAACAATTCTCGCAATGGCGGTGTATTGACAAATTTTTCGAAAATCCGAAGTTTCTCTGATTCGACTAATATTAAAAAAGTACATATATTATGACTTCAATAAATCGCCAATTAATTTTTAAACCCCTCCGACTACTAGTCAACTTCCCGAAGGAGAAGTTTGTTTTCATAAAAAAATCTGACTTGCTAATTTTATGTTTTTCTCGACGTTTCAAGCCATTCTGAATCGAATGAGACTGAAGTTGGAAAAAGTATGTGTGCGTGCGTATGTGTGCGTGTGTGTGAACAGATTTTATGAACAGGTTTTCTCCAAAACCCCTGGACCGATTTCAAAAATTTAAAAGCCATTCGATGTTTCTCGATGAGGACTAGCGTTTCTCAGACGATCAACCTGACTGTTTCTTTGTAAATCGCAGAAAAGTGAAAAAATTTTCGTCCACGTTTTAGCCCGCAATTCTGAATCGATTTTGAAAATTCAAAAATCGTTCGAAAGATATTGGTTAGGATGGAAATCGACCTGATTAGTTTTTGGTAAAGATAGGCCGGACCATTTTCTTGTAATAAAGTTAAAAAA